AACAGGACAGTCAGGGGTTTTCTAATGCAAGGATATTGATCACAGATTTTCCAAAATACCCCAGAGCAGCCACACTATTGCAAATGCCTCTGATTAGACCAAGAGATGAGAAGGCAAAAGTTATGTAAAAAAGAAAATAACCAAGGGAAGGCCTGCTGCTGCAATAAATTATTTAAAGAGAGCAGGGTGAGTGTGCTATGAAGACAATATAAAACAGAATCAATGCCCCCAAGAAACCCCAAACCATCTACACCTCTATAAATTTCTTACCACCCTGTCCCGGCATTTTACTGGAGGTATTTCTTTTCCACTATTCTCCTTACCCACCCTGACTCAGATCCTTCACTTTTTACCCAGTTCTTTCTCAAAGCTTTTCTTTTGTTTTTGTGTGTAACCCAGGACACTCTCTGGTTATGTTTCTCAGGTTGTACCAGGACAGAGTGTGTGAGGACACCGAGTAGTGCATCTGTGTGACCCTCAGTTTCCTATGGACACTGTAGACCGGGAGTATCTAATGCATTTCACACATCAATATCACTGCTCTCCTGCACTTTTTTTCCTTTTGATTACTATTGTGGTTAAGTCCACAAAGAGCTAAAGCTAGAGCACAACTTCTATTGGTGCAGAACTCTTCTCAATTGGACAATGTCAGCAGACCCAGAAATCTAATGTGAAGGCAGGAGCTTGAGAGATGTGTTCGAGGAAAAAAAGTAGTAAAAATGTCTAAAATTAAAGAATAGGTGACATTAAAGAGGGCTAGTAGACTTGAAAAGACAATGTTTTACAAGCAGGTTTTGCCACAGGCACGAAGAATAAGGAAAGAGGGGTCAAAAACTTAAAAAGAATTTATCAAACCAAAGTTTGATGCCATAAGTATGCTATGGCCCCCAAAAAAGGAGTTAAAATAGTTGCAAAGAAGCTTGCAATGACCTATGCCCCAGTTTCCAGAAAAGCAGCATTCTACTATAGTTTTCTTTTCACCAGCCACAAATCAGTCCCATTTTATGATCACTGATTACTATATCTGAGTCTTTTCAGATTTTTCTAAGTCTATCCAATCATGTAGAAGTTGGACAAATGAAATATAAGAAACTCATTTTCCAGCTTAAAAGCATTATTAGTAACCTAACATGACAGTGGACAAAACAGCACGGGCTAGAACAGAAGTCCAAAGATTCCCCACCAAGGCTTTGCTGCTGTTTCGCTCTATGACCTTTAGCAAATTATTTGCCTCTCTGGGTCAAGGCTGACTGGTTAAGGTCAGGGTCACTGAGCCAGTGATTATAAATGGTGGTTAACTTTACTAGAGAACTCTCTTCCAAGGTCACATTCAATGCAAAAAAAAAGTGAACAAAAGGGTAAAAAAAATTGCAGATGATTTGTATGACTAAGCATAACCCTATCGCAACACCACAACTCTAAACAAAAACAATTCAAAACACAAGGCCTACTTCTCAGTTATTGGTGTCACCTTTGCATATGAAAGTCAGGATTAAGTATTATTCTTTTGTATGCTGGGTTTGCTTATTTGTAACAAAGTGGAAAAAAAATCATATTCTCAAAAGATTGTTAAGATGAGTAACCTATCAACAAGCCTGCCAAGTATTTCTCTAAAGAGAAACTGCTCCATAAAAGTCCCAGTAATGATCCTGAAGCTGGGAATAATCCAAGTTCAATTCCTCAGCCTACCCATGTGCTTTTTTTCCATTGGGGAAGTAAATATTCCGGGCACTTATGACCTCAGAGAAGTTGTCTGGCTGTTCAAGTTCTCAGGTGGCAGAAAGTGGGAAGAACAACTTTTGATAAAGCCTTTCTCTTTCAAACCTTATTTGGAAGTCTTAAATGGGGAATTATGCCAGTCTAAAAAGAACAGGATTCAAATGTCAGTATCGAATTATTTAACAAAACCTATTTGGTGATAATAAATAAAACTTTACATTAATTTCAGAGTAAGGAGAGGTAGCAACCAATTCTTAACACATATCTCTAATGTGATGAGGAAATCTTTGTCCCCAATTAACTGGAAAGGTCACAAATACTTCCAAAGTGATATGAGTATCCCTGGGGCTTGATTGGTGAATGGAAGTAACAACAGACTCTCCTGGCCACAGTGCCCAAAGGAGACCCTTAATGTTGTAGAAGCTTGCAATGGCGGCTGAAGTGGGTATTTTACGTCCAGCCCTGAAAGCCACCTCTTGATAAGGATTCTTTATCCATCAGGGGTAAGATATCCTTCAGGAAGGGATGCCCAACAATGAGAATTAGGATGGGCTAAATCACTCCAGGACCTCCAAGGAGCCTACGAGACCAGAGTGAGGTCACGAGTGGAGGGACTAAGAATGCAGAGGGTTGTTAAATGACCCTGCCACCCCAGACAGGTCTTCTTAGAATTGGGCCCAATCTCAACAGGAATAGCTGAGGATTCCAAAATACTTCCAAACATAGCACAAAAGAGGTCCATTGTTGAGGACAGGGAGTTAATGCATTACCTATACATTTTATAGGGTCAGTAAATGCCACCTGAAAATATCTGAACAACTATATGTTAAACCAACTCACAGACTATAATTGTTTTTTATATGATATGATTATCTCCACTCTTTCTCAAAATATGGCAGAGATGCCTGGCGTCAGAATCACTCCAAGGTGCCTGTGAAAAACACAGGTTCCTAAGCTCCACCCCAATCTCTGACTGAATCACAGAGCCAGGAGGCTGGCCCAAGCACTGCATTTCTAAGGAGCAACCAGTTGATTTCATGGTTCATATCAGGGTAAGAGCACTGCTGTGTCCTTGTGCATAACCCACGAGAAATGTAAAACACTCAGAGATCAGAAATTTGTGACTTCTCCAAAAGTGTTCCTATATCATCAAAATGAAATTTCACCGCTTTCAGTGAATTCTTAAAACCACCCCCATTTACTCTACCCACATATAATGATTATTAAAATGTAATTATAAATAGAAAATTATTGAGAAACATATCAGCTTCTCAAAAATACTGCCTTTATTGTCACCCGCAATAATTACACTATTAAAGGAATTAATAGTTTTCTAAAGTATCAGTCATTTGGCCGCAATAACTTATTAATCTTTTATATTCCTCCTATACCCTTTTAGTCACCAAAATTTTGTGATAAAGCCTTTTTATTATTTTTAAACTATAAATTGTGAGCCATTGCAAGCAGTGATTAGGCTGAACAGAAATTTATGTCCCCATTATAAATTCCTAAAAGCATGTTTTATTAGAATTACTAAGGCAGTCTTGGTGATAGCCTGCCACAAAGCTCTGCTTACTTCTAATAATGTGTTGTTGATGCAAACAATCCAGCTTTAATGCAAGTGCTTAAAAAGCAAATTAAGTAAATAGATGAATAAATAATAAAAAAGCAAAATCCAGCTTTTGATATCATACCATTGCAAAGCAGTAAACCAGTGTTGCATGGGGATGCGGCGAGCACCACATTTCTTTTCTAGAGGAATGATTTTTTTTTTCTCCTCATGCTTCTCCCACCCCCAAACCATAGCTGTTATTACTTCACAACATACAGTTCACCATTTCTAGAGACAAAAATCCCCTTTCTCCCTCCTCCAAGCTGCAAGTTCAGGCCAAATAATGAATGAAAACGGAACTTGGGAGGCAGGCTTTGTTTGTGGTATGTTGTTTCTGCTACAGGCTGCCCCCGACCCACGCTCCCTTCCCCCCACCTCCCAGTGCAGCCCCACAAGTGTACACGCTGTGTTTTAACAGATGGGCCGGCTGGCGGCAGCTCGGCTGTAAAACAGGAACGCGGAATCTGCACCCGGTGGTATTGAACTGAACGCTCGTAAAGTTCACGGACATACACTGACCCAGACAGACTGGGCAATGCAGACAGCTTGCACGCGCACGCTCAGCTCGGAAAGCCCGTCTGGGCTGCCCAGGGAAGTGCAAGCCTTGGTCTCCCACACCCACCTCTACCACTCACTCTGCAGCACACAGACAGGCACAGCTGCACCCGCAGACACACACAAAGCGAACTACACGCACCTCAATGTTTGCCTGTATTTTCAAAGATCGGAACAGTCCTCGATCCTCCCACTGAAGTCTCTACATAGCACTCTCAACAAGCTCTCACGAAAAATAATCACAAGAAGATACCGCGTCGGATTCTCTGGAGCCTGCCCATCCGGCGCCCTCGGAAAAACAAGCTGCCTTGCCCGCTTAGCGCTGGGAGGGAAAACAGCCTCTGATACAGACCGAGTCAGGAGTCAGGCGTCAGGTGTAACCTTGACGCGCAGTGATCAGTTCTATCTCAACTTCAGCCCCGCAACACACACACACACACACACACACACACACACACACACACACACACACACACACACACACACACCCATCGGGCTGGCGGGGTCTCCATCGCTCTTGCCCCAAACAAACGCTAGGATGCAAGGAGGGGAAGGGTCCAAGCACCTGTGCGTGTTGGGGGCGCGGTCAGGGACCTCACGAAAAGCATTTCCTCATAAAGTTTCACATCCAGAGGCCGTCGATCCCTGGAGGTGCCCACGAAGATCCCAGGCTCCTGCCTCCGCATGTCACGCGGGTGCCCATTTTCTTGAACTCCGGGGAGCCGCCCCCTCTCTCGCCCCAAACCCGTGCGCACTCAGTGGACGATTCGCCGCGGCCGCCGAGGCCCCGCCGTGGGGTCCTGGACGCTCGCCCTTACAGGAATTGCCTTCCGCACATCCCCTGACCCCACGGGCCCCACCCCACCTCAGGATGGCAGCTACACCTAGTGGGTGCGAACACAGAACTGCGTTCCTAAGTCGGGATGCTTGGAAAACAAGAAGTTGGCGCGTGGGGGCAGTGACGCGGGGCCAAATCCAGCCCAGCACGGACCTCTCCACAGCGACCACACTCGGACGCACCGACCGCCCGGCTCCCGGACGCGCCTGTCCCCTGTCAGCTCGCCGGTCGCGCACCGGCGCCGAGGAGGTTCTCACCCCGCGCGCGGCCACTCACCCTCCTGGTTGAGTCCCGCTGGCAAATCGAAGCTTCTGTTGTGGGTGGGTCCTGGGTCCCAAGTTGCCGGGAGTCGGCGACTGCTCACTCCCCAGTGCACCGGGGCACCAGGGCTCGGGCGGACACCTCAGGAGAAGCACTACCAGCCCAGCGGCTCGCGCTCAGCAGTCGCTCCCAGCGCGTTGACAATTCACCGATCCCCTCAGCGACTGAGGCGGAATGCAGGGCAGAGACGACTCGGCTCCCGAGGGGGCGGGGCCAGAACCCTGCACCGCCCTCAAAGGGGCGGGATATTACAGCACTCCCTGACTGGCGCGGTTGTAAGCCAATCGGGGTTGCTCTAGGGTCCCGGGAGCCCGTGGGCGGTGCCTAGTATCCGGGCCCGCCTCGAGGCCGCTGTCCAATCGCATGCGTCGGAGGCTGGCTGAGGGGACGCGCCAGCGGCCGGGAACTTGGCGGCTGCCGAATGCGGGGTCGTGAGGCGAGTGCTCCCGCAACGCTCTGGTGGGACTTGGTCACTACCGGAGAGAGAGGCGACGGGCCCGCAATGCCCCCGGCTGACACCTCAGGGCCGCGTGGGTGCCCCTAGCTGTGTGGCAGCGCTGGCCGAGACCCGGTGGACCTGGCCGGTCCCGGAGCCTCAGAAGCGCGGAATTTGACGGTCCTAAAGGAGCCCCAGCCTTGTGGGGAAGCTGAGGCCCCAAAGAGGGTGAGTCCCGGGCCGGGTCGCCCAGGACTAGCGGAAGCCTGGGTTCCGGGCTGAGAGGCGCGGGCTCCTCGGAAAGGTTCTGGTGGTTGTTCCGTCGCTCCGCTGAGAAAGTTCCTAGGTCGCCGCCGGGCCCGCAGCCTTGCTCTGCGCGCCTCTTGGCCTCCTCTCCCCGCCTCGAGGCGCACTTGGCGTTGGCGCGGCCGCGCTGCTTACTGGAGTCTTGAGCGCTGGACGCTTCCAGAATCCGCTGGACCTTCCGCTGTGCGGAGGGATTCTCAGTGGTGCCCTTCCCGGGACCAGGAGGGGGCCCGCAGTCATCGATCTCCACAGACTGGAATCATGGGACTGAGCGCCCTTGCCGCTCCCCCGTCGGGGGTCTCAGCTAGCAGGGAGGGAGAAAGGGCAAGAGCTGAGATCTCTGGCTGCCAGTGGCTCAGGGTCACTCCCCGCAGTGGAGCCCTGGCCTCGTGGTTTTTGTGCTTGGTTGCCCATGCCAGTGCTGCTCATCCCTTCAGTGCTGGACTCCTCAGCCTTGTTTTAAACCCTTGCCTGCCTGCAGGATATACACTCTGAACGACTGAAGATATGCAGTTCAAAGTAGAGATGGATATCCTAGCTTTCCAGGCTGAGGCAAACAGTAGTTTGTGGTGTCTCCACCTCTCTGCCTGCCGTGGGTAGGCACCCCAATCATATTAGTAGGAATACAGGCATATAGGCAGCAAAGGGGTCAGCATACCACTCACCCTCACCACCCTGACTTGCAGTCCATGCCTACTGAAGGTGCTTGATGGTCTCACTCAGTTCCCCCGGGGTCCTAAACGTTATCCTCTCAGCGTGCTGTGCGAGGGAGCTGCAGGTGTTATTTTCACCTGCTCTCTGTTGGGTCCTATATCATAACCAACCTCACATGAGCAGTTCTGCTGAGCTCACTTAGAGGAAGGCAGGCCCTGGACCTGTAGCTGAAAGTAATAAAATGTCCATTCCTGCAGCCAAAGCTGAGAGAAAGCCCATAGGCTGGCTGTCAAAATACAGACTAGGATCAGGTTAGACCTTACCAGGTCCTGAGAAACTAAGAGTAATGCAGAAATCACACTCAGTTAAGTTCTTCCTTATCTGGATGGGAAGGGCTATTTGGGAAGACCATCTGACACCATCCCCAGGGGTTTCTTAGTATGCTGGTAAGTGGCCCAGGACAATGGTCTTTATCCACAAAAAATAGACCAAATGAATGGAATATGCAGCAGAACTCTGTGCAGGTTCTAGTACGTCAGAGTAGCCAACCAGCAGAGAAGGCTAAGAAGGCTCTAGTTCCAACAGAACATCAGTCTGTTTAAAAAATTGTGTTCTGTTTGCTTGAACTTTGCTAGCCTCTCCACTGAAGGCTGCCATAGGAATTGTCAGGAAATTCTCAGGGAAGAAAAATATTTCCTAGGCTTTCTCCTCTCCCCCCAACACTGCAGATATTAGCTAGAGAAGAGGCTTGCCACCAGGGCTCAGTCATGAGACCCTGGGAAGGTTTTTCATGGACCTATTGGTTATTCTAAAAATCATCTCAGAAATAGGATTCCTGGGTCTACTGTAGTGTTTAATTTGCTGATGAAAAGAAAGTGCTTTCATAAAATAAATTGGAATTAAACAGGTGGCTTTCTTGTCCAAATTTCTAAGGTTTTTCACTTGGTCCGAACTGACCCAATCTATGGGTTCTTGGACAACTAATTGGTCTAATTTTTCTTGTAGAATGAGTAAAAAAAAAAAAACCCAACACATTTGGAGAATATTCACATTTTTCTACCATCTGTGAAGAAATTGGTTGTCAATAGGAGCTTACTACTTCAAGTGAACTTAAAATTTATATTCCTTTGGGTGCCAGTTATCTACAGGATCTTTTGAGTTTGGGCCATCCCCACAGTCTACAAAGGAACAAGGGATATGTCTGAATCCATGTCAATACTGTCTATGAAAGAAATAGAAAATCATGGTAATCTAGACATGGAAGTTGCTTGTTTTGCGTATTTTACTTTTTTCACTCAGATGGATAAGGAAATGTATGGTATGACTTGGATATGAGAAGATTCCAGTAGGACTATGGAAGTGGGGCTGGTCCCTTTGTAGATGGTAAGCAGATTTGTCTTCAGGTACAATCAGCCATAATCAGACACAAACAATATTTCAGAACCCTTTAAATTTCATCAGGACGCAACCGGTAGGAGTCCTGGACTCTAATCTGAGCAGCCGCAGTGGGACTGCTCCAGGCAGTCACTTAACCTCCCTTTACCCTTGCTTGCTCGGCCATAAAATGGCAGTGGCAGAATTGACCTACCGTGTTTAGCTGCTTGAGGGAGACAACCATGACAGTGGCTATGAAACATTATAAATTCATGGCACTTCTGTGCTACTAACTGCCAAAAAAGAAGATAAAATGATGTTAACATGGCACAATAGCTTAGTCCAAACATGCAATTTCAAGTACATGCAATTTTTGTTCATTTTTTTAGATTATTACTGTCCTTTCTGTACATGAAAATGAGGGGGAGAGGACCTTTTCCATCTTTATTTTTTAATTACTGAATGCTTTGAAATCTTCAGTAGGAATCAATCTCCATGATAGGAACAGACCTAGAATTAAGACAATGTTTATTCAGGTTTATGGTATTTTTTTTCTCTCAGTCTCATCATCTGTCAACATTTATCCTCTTTGAAAATTATTTACAACTTTAGCTTTTAATAAGGAAATGCAGTTAATTTCCATGTTTTAGTACTAATTCCATGGGTTCATTCTGAGCTACTGTGCAGGGCATTAACCCTCCTGGTCTCCCATCTGTGAAACTGCAATGATCAATGTCATGGAGTTGGCACAGATAATTAGTGATAGGGTCTTTTGAAATATTTGTTGTTGTATGGACTATAAAATATGGGTGTTTATGACAAGCTATGATATGCATGGTGTTTATACATAACTAGGAGGTATCTTTCTTAATAGATTTTTCTGATACAGTCTGCAGCCAGGGAACACCATGTACAGAGCAGTGCTATTGGGATTAGCATTCTATTGCAGTGGGTTAAGGAGCTTGTGCTGTCCCTTTGGATTTGTGTATTTGTTTGAAAGGCAAAGTTATATAGAGGGAGAGGCAGGGACATCTTCCATCTGCTTGTTTACTTTCCAAATGATGCAGTGACTTAGGTTAAGTCATGCCAAGGCCATGAACTTGAAAGTCCATCTGGGTCTCTCAAGTGGGTGCAAGGACACAACACTTGGACCATCTTCTGCTGCTTTCCCAGGTATGTTAGCAGAGAGCTGGGTCAGAAGTGGAGCAGCCAAGACTTGAACTGGTGCCCCTAAGGGATGCTGATGCTGCAGTGAGTGTCTTTAACAGGCTGTACCGCAAGGCTGGCCTCCAGCATCTCACATCAGTTTGATTGCTGGTTGAAGTCCCAGCTGTTCTACTTTTAATTCACTTTCTTACTGGTGCTCCTGGGGAAACAGCAGGTAGTGCCCTGAGTATGTAGACTCATCTCACCCATGTAGGTGACCTGGATAAGGTTTCAGGCTCCTGGCTTTTGCCAAGAGCTGTTTAAATCCCTTTATATCTCATGACTCTCTTGACTCTCATAACCAACTTATTGTGTCATGGTCATCTCTTCCTTGGAGTTTCTGTGCTGAAAGACTGTTCTAGGAATAACATCCTATTAGGTATTAAAAGCCAGAAGCACCTTTTTATGGAATTTGAGATAACCTTGAAAATTTATTTTTCTGTGGGCAGCCACTTTCTTGCAAATATTAAGAAAATATCATTTTTTTTTTCAAAGCAGCACACTGACCCTTTATTCAGTACAGTTGTTAACATTCTGCAGGCCTGTCACAATCCCTGTTTTGTCAGCGTCCCGTCTCCAAAGTCCCCCAAGAAGGTCCTGCCAAGGGTCCCGCACGCTGCACGGCCACAACCCGCAGCCTCCGCCGGCCCCCGCCCGCAGGGCCACCCAGCGCCCAGCTCGGGAAAGGGCCAGCCTGCAGTCACCCAGCACCCAGCTCGGGATAGGGACTGCCGCCTGCCCGCACACAGAGTCACCCAGTGCCCAGCTCGGTGGTCCCGCCTGCAAGGTCACCCATTGCCCAGCGCCCAGCTCGGGAAAGGGCCAGCCTACAGTCACCCAGCACCCAGCTCGGGATAGGGCCCGCCGCCCGCACACAGGGTCACCCAGTGCCCAGCTCGGTAAAGGGCGCGCCACCCGCCTGCAGGGTCACCCAGCGCCCAGCTCGGGATAGGGACTGCCGCCCGCCCGCACACAGGGTCACCAGTGCCCAGCTCGGTGGTCCCGCCTGCAGAGTCACCCAGCGCCCAGCTCGCGGCCTGCCCGCCTGCAAGGTCACCCATTGCCCAGCGCCTAGCTCGGCAAAGGGCGCGCCGCCCGCCCGCCCGCCTGCAGTCACCCAGCACCCAGCGCCCAGCTCGGGAAAAAGCGAAAATATCATTTTAATTTGGCTTTGGCT